GTTATTTTTCTGAAAACTTCGTTCTTAAGAGTTAGGAGATGACCCAGGACGAGTTCTTGACAGTTTCCACGACTTTTGGTGCTAAATGTAAGGATTTTACTCCCCTAATCCATTTTTCGATCCGTAGAACTTAGATTCTTGATTAATTATTATTGGGGGAGGGTTTTGGCCTGAAATTCATGGTGGAAAAAACCCTAGCTGCACATTAGGATCATGGGTTTGGTCTTGGGTTATTGAGTTTGTTATAATCAGGGTAATTAGACCTAAATTTATTGATCCTTGCATTATATTAATCGTTTGTAGACCTAGAACAAGCGGAAAGAATCCGGAAAAGGAAGTATCAAGTGTCTTAGCAGGATTCAAGCTTGATTTTGAGGTAGGTGATGGTTTGATTTCATGTTTGCGTAATATATGTTGGTAATTGTTTCATTGTAATGCATTCATGTATGTGAATGAGGCTCTATTGATCAAACCTAATGAAATGAGTATGAATGAACAATTGTATGCCATGAATCAACACTTGATTGTATGATTATGAGTATGTACATTATTAGTGTGAATGTGATTGTGGTTGTGTTGATTGGACTGTGTGTCACGTTCCGACACATACATTGGATCGAGTGTCACATTCCGACACATACATTGGATCGGGTGTCACGTTTCGACACACTAATTGGATCGGGTGTCACGTTTCGACACACTAATTGGATCGGGTGTCATGTTCCGACACACTAATTGGATCGGGTGTCATGTTCCGACACACTAACAATTTGGGTGTGGGTTCCATGAAAGGACCATAGTACTGATGTACCTACTTGTTATTGAGAATGGGGAATTGTACGTTGCTCCTGAAATGATAACTGATATATATATATATGTGATTGCTGGTATATGTTTGCTTATTAGAATAGCCGCGTGATTCTACCAGTATAATGTGGTTGTATATTGATACTGCACTTGCTCTTTGTTTGTTGAGTACATGGCAATTTCAGGCGGCTACTAACATACCTCATTTAGGAGATCACTGATCGAGACCGAATTCAAGGGTGAGCCAGTTCTTCCAGGCAGCCATGAGTTCTCATTCTGTTTAGTCCATTTTCTTCAGACTCAGATTAGTTCTTTAAATATTCGTCTGTTTAGTTTCGGGGTTGTACCCCTTGTTCTTAGACTTGTCGTTAGTAGATTTTTGGTACATTGAATTTCAGGTTCTAGGCGTAATTTTTCGCAAATGTTTTGGTAATTATTTTGGTAAGCTTTCGGAGTTTATGGGAACTCCCTTTTCCTTTAGACATTTAAACCTGCTTCCGTATCTTTAAATGTTCTAATTTTCGTTAAGTTGTGTAGTTTCGTATTATATAGTATTTACATATTATTTTGTAGGATTATAAAAAAAGATAACAATATTTTTGTGGAATTATATCACTGTTTAATTTATCTTTTTATTTATCTATGTGTAATACTGATTGAAAAATTGAATATATACGTTTTAATTTAATAAAAAATAAATTTAATTAAATTTTTGTAATAAATATTTAAAATAGTTTCTCTCTATAAAATAATTTTAATATTAAAAGTACATTATTATTTGTCCTTTTTCGTAATTTGACTCAAAAATGTACTTTTAAAAAAAGTTAGTCAAATACAATATGCTTATAAAAAACACTTTTTAAATGAATTAACCAAACACAATTTATTTATTTTTTTACAAAAGCACTTTTCTAAAAAACTATTTTTAAAAAGTACTTCAAAAATTTAATAGCTTTTAGCATCGCCAAACATGCACTTATTTTCTAAGAAATAACTAAAAGGAAAAAAATTTCCGTCAGTGGCTGTCTATGTGTGTATTAAATCTCAAATTGTTTGGCATAAAAACATTAGTTTGTTATTATTTTAAGACTTTCTACATAAAATTTATTTTTCATAAATAAATAATTCATTATTTTTTTGTTCATTTGTATAAATACTAAGAACATACCCTAATTATTCATTACAATATAAATTGATATAAAAATCTGTATATATTTATTTTTTAAAAAATTAATAATTCGATACAATTTGATTCGATCGATTTATACCATTTTAAAGATCAATTGACACCCTATCTACATGTGACTTGGAAAAGAGATTTAGCCTTTAAAGTATAGTCAAAATTAAATTTTATATGTTCAGTTACTTAAACTTGATTTCAAATCTATGAAATTGAAGTTAAAATCCGACTTGAAATTATGAGCATCAGGTGTACGTGTCTGGGACTTGTCAAAGCAAACGCCATATAATTTGAAAACAAGTAATCTTCAAACAATTTGAAATCAAGCAAACTTTAGGCATTTTTGTCTAAAGTTTTAACATGAAAATTTCAAACTTTAAACATTTCTATTTAAAATTGTGTATGACAATTAAATTTTAAATAATTTTATCTGAATCTATACCATAGTTTTGGATTTCTATGGTTCAGACGTCTAATTGCTCATAACATGGTTTAAAAAAGGAAAAGACATCAATTCCCCTCTGAATTTGTCCCGAAAAATCAGCTACACGCTTAAACTATCATAGTGATCTATTACACACTTATACTCCTCAAAAGTGAATTTTCTTACCCCCTCAAACTGATGTGGCAAAAAAAATCAAACAAAAATAAAAAACTAGGCGCGTCAGTTTGAAATTAAAGTGATAAAAATGGTTAGAATCCTCTTTTCCATCCCCAGCCCCATCCCCACACCTCTTCTTCTTCACACCCCACCCATTGTCCTCTTCTTCTTCATTCTTTATTTTCATCACACTTCTTTAAAAAAATTTTTATCACAATCTTAAAGCATAATTTTTTTTATTCTCAATTAAGTTAATTCTCATAGATTTGTTAGTTTATAATTGTATTTTATCTAGAAAAATTTCGATTGATTGTTTCTATCTTTGTCATTTTTTTGACTTTGTTATAGAATTTTTTGTTGTAATTGATCGATTTTTGGGTTTAGTGGTGATAGCAACTTTATGGGTTTGGTGGTGATGGGTGATAGGTGACAAAAATTAAAAGAGGTAATTGAAGATGGTGATGAAGAAAAATCGATATTAATAATGGTGGTGGTGATATTTGGTGTTGGGTGACGAGAAGAATAAAAATTGAAGGTGATATAGTGATGGTGAAGAACAAAATCAACAGTGAAGGTGGTCGGATATGATTTTTCCGATGAAATGAGTACTGAAATGGGTGGGATTTAGTGACGAAGAAGATATAATTATTAGAGAATTAAAATAATTAATTAGGGATTAATTAGAGTAAAATATAGTTAACAAAAGAAAAGTTAATTAATAAACAAAACAAAAAATTATAATTTATGACATGACACTGATGTAGCGCTGATGTGGCAGCGAATGTAATACACCACATAATGTGAGAGTGGTATTACACGTCTCAGAGTGGTAATAAATTCACTTTTGAGTATTAAAGGTGTGTAATAGGTCACTGTGATAGTTTAAGAGTGTAACTGACTTTTTGAGATAAATTCAGGGGAAAATCTATGCCTTTTCCCTTTAAAAAAAACATGTAATCATTTCATCCGACTTATTAAATACTGATTGGATAACTAATTATTTAAAATGGATTAACTATGAATATTGTCCATGCTATATACCAAAATATGGATATTTAGACAGAAAATATAAATATCCATATTGTCAACACTCCTTTGTCTTTTGCTTGTTTTTTTTTAATAATTCCTTGCTTTCTGGATTATGAGTGTTTAAGCTTATTTTGATTTTTATCTTATGTTTTTACTTAATTATTTCTGAAATCATAAATAACATAAATATTGATCAATTAATCAAATTTTTATATGTTAAATCAGAACAAATTAAATACTTTGTTTATTTTCATTAACCTGATTTCGACTTCTTATATCGTCTCAATTTACATGTTTGCCCCTCCTAGTTAGAATATTTACATATTTTCATGTCCATAGTATGATCATAATTAACAAAGTTACGACTTCAATTACCATTTTATTGGCAAAAAGTATAGCAACACTTAACTAGTCCTTTCTATAGTAAGGGATAACTAATAGTTGACACTAGATGTATTAAGACATCATTATTAAGTAAGGACACTTGATTAATTTTACATGAACTTAGTGCTAGCTTGTCCGATCAAGGTTTTAAAAAGTCAAAAATATTTATTAAAAAAATACGAAAATATTTGATCAAGTTTTTTAAAAAAAACTAATTTGTAAGGGTAGCAAAAGTTGTTTTTTTTTTTTTTAAAATAATTTAAAAATTAGTTTTTCCCAAAAAGATCATTTTAAAAAGCACTTTTTAAAAAAATATTTAAAAATATTTTTATAAATTTGACCAAAAACTAATTACTCTTATTTAATCAGTGCCTTTTAAATTGATTAGTTGCTTATCACCAAAAGTACATATTTTTTAAAATAAATAAATTTTAATCAAACATGCTTTTTATATATATATATATATATATATATATATATATTATTTTTATTTTTTTTATTTTTTATAAACGCATAGATGCGTTATTATTAGTGCTTCTACAAAATCTAAATGCCATTATAAGTTGGCAATTTTTTTTATATGTAAAGTGCAAATACAAAACAATGATACATGCTCTTGATCTTGACTAATTCATAGTCTACCATGAACTAAACCCATAGTTTAGTAGGAATCTATTTCATAATAATTAAGATGAGATTCTATATACTAAGGTGTGTATTTTTCAAAGATCATTTGGCCAGTTTGTACTTTGTACTTTCCTCTTCCAAATGAACCATATTTGTTTTTCTAAATGTTTTGAGCCAGTTTACTTTTTTTACAAAAAAAATAAAAATAAACTTGTCTTTATCAAATGTTTGGGTGCCTTGCTATATTAAGAGCTAATTCTTCCATCAATGTTGCAAAACCAACAAACTAGTTTAGTTCCAATATGGGAACACCATCAAAGTTGGGGCAATGGCCCCTTCTTGTTTATGCTTTTGCCTTTTGCTTGATAGCTATTAGTGTAGCAGCTGATTATAAGCCTCACATTGATGATTCATCATCTTTGTCATACCGTTATAGGCCACGATCGCCTCCACCACCTCCTCCACGACGTCGTTACTATTATAAATCACCCCCGCCTCCTCCTCCACGACGTCATTACTATTATAAATCGCCTCCGCCGCCTCCGCCGCCTCCGCCGCGACGTCGTTACTATTATAAATCGCCTCCACCACCTCCTCCACGACGTCATCACTATTATAAATCACCTCCACCACCACCTCCGCGACGCCATCACTATTATAAATCACCTCCACGACCGCCTCCACGACGTCATCACTATTATAAATCACCTCCACCTCCATCACCATCACCACCTCCTCCACGACGTCATCACTATTATAAATCACCTCCACCACCACCTCCGCGACGCCATCACTATTATAAATCACCTCCACGACCGCCTCCACGACGTCATCACTATTATAAATCACCTCCACCACCACCTCCGCGACGCCATCACTATTATAAATCACCTCCACCTCCATCACCATCACCACCTCCTCCACATTATTACAAATCTCCACCACCGCCTTCTCCACCTCCCCCGCCAAATTATTACCATCATCCACCACCACCACCACCAATCCTTTCTCCTCCTACAACATCACCACCTCCTCCACATTATTACAAATCTCCACCACCGCCTTCTCCACCTCCCCCGCCAAATTATTACCATCATCCACCACTACCACCACCACCACCGCCGCCTTCTCCATCTCCACCACCACCTTATTACCATAATCCTCCACCACCGCCTTCTTCATCTCCACCGCCACCTTATTACCATAATCCTCCACCGCCACCTTATTACCATAATCCACCACCACCACCTACTCCATCTCCACCGCCACCTTATTACTATAATCCACCACCACCACCACCAATCCATTCTCCTCCTCCACCACCACCTCCATCTCCATCTCCATTGCCATCACCCCCATTGTACTACACCTGTCGATGAACCATCTCCATCTCCATCTCCGTTGCCATCACCACCATTGATTGCGCCTATCAATGGGCCATCTCCACCTCCATCTCCATTTTCATCACCACCATTGATTGCACCTACCGATGGACCATCTCCATTGGCATCACCACCATTGATTAAACCTACCGATGGACCATCTCCATCTCCATCTCCATCTTTAAAGACCCCCATTCCTCCATTAATACCTCCGCCTCCACCATGCTATAATAAATATCCTTCCCCACCATCTTTATTCCCTTTTCCACTACCATATCCATTTAATCGACCTCCACCCCCACCATCTAATAATTGTAAGACTCCTCCACCACCTCTAATAAACTCCCCCCCTCCTCCATCTCCATCTCCATTGCCATCACCCCCATTGACTACACCTGTCGATGAACCATCTCCATCTCCATCTCCGTTGCCATCACCACCATTGATTGCACCTACCGATGGACCATCTCCATCTCCACCACCTCCATTAAAGACCCCCATTCCTCCATTAATACCTCCGCCTCCACCATGCTATAATAAATATCCTTCCCCACCATCTTTATTCCCTTTTCCACTACCATATCCATTTAATCGACCTCCACCACCACCGTTGACTTCACGTACCGGTGGACCATATCCATCTCCATCTCCATTGCCATCACCACCATTGACTACACCTACCGATGGACCATCTCCATCTCCACCACCTCCATTAAAGACCCCCATTCCTCCATTAATACCTCCGCCTCCACCATGCTATAATAAATATCCTTCCCCACCATCTTTATTCCCTTTTCCACTACCATATCCATTTAATCGACCTCCACCCCCACCATCTAATAATTGTAAGACTCCTCCACCACCTCTAATAAACTCCCCCCCTCCTCCATCTCCATCTCCATCTCCCCCTCCACCACCTTCTCCATCTCCACCACCTCTAGTTAATTCCCCACCTCCTCCACCACCTTCTCCATCTCCACCACCACCTTCATCTCCATCTCCACCTCCACCTTCTCCATCTCCACCACCTCCTCCATCGCCATCTCCACCTCCACCACCTTCTCCATCTCCACCACCACCTTCATCTCCATCTCCACCTCCACCTTCTCCATCTCCACCACCTCCAGTTAAGTATCCACCTCCACCACCTTCTCCATCCCCACCACCACCTCCATCGAAATCTCCATCTCCACCTCCTCCTTGCAATAATAAATATCCTCCCCCGCCATCTTTATTCCCTTTTCCAATACCATTTCCCTGGTTGCGAACTCCACCTCCGCCACCTAATTGTAGTCCTCCACCACCTTTAATAAACTCCCCCCCTCCTCCATCGCCATCTCCACCTCCACCACCACCTCCATCTCCAGTCTCCACCTCCTCCATCACCGTCTCCACCGCCGCCACCACCTCCATCGAAATCTCCACCTCCGCCTTGCAATAATAAATCTCCTCCCCCACCATCTTTATTCCCTTTTTCAATACCATTTCCCTGGTTGCGAACTCCACCTCCGCCACCTAATTGTAGTCCTCCACCACCTTTAATAAACTCCCCCCCTCCTCCATCGCCATCTCCACCTCCACCACCTTCTCCATCTCCACCACCTCTAGTTAAGTCCCCACCTCCTCCATTTAAAATAATTATTCCACCAATTCCACGACTACCTCCACTCCCAATTCCTCCATTGCCACGACTATCTCCATTTCCCTTTGGTCGGCAACCCTAGTACTACAACCCACCTCCACTACCATTGAAATCTCATGGTTATCATTACACATCATCTCCTCCTCCTTCACTACTAAAACACGTTTGACTTTACAATAATTGCATGATATTGCATCTTGTCTCATTTGAACTGTGTAATCAATTGGTGTTTCTCTTTTGAGAGATTGGCTTATTGATATTGTAATGCTTTTTCTTACGGATTTAGTGTATATTCTAAATAAAAAGGATTCGAATGAAATTCGGCTTCAGTTGTTGTTTATTTTGCAATCATAGTATTCTCTACTTCCTATTTTATTGAACACTATATGACTAGATCACTTGTATGTTAATCTGAGTTGTATATTTATCAGTAGTAGGGTAACATATTATCAATCTATAGTTGAATTTGAAAAAAATAATATGTTATATTATTATTATTATTATTTAAATTCAAAAATATCTTGTAAATATTTCACCCAAAGATTACCATCTATCTATTATTATAAATTAGTAATGTTTCCAGAAAAATGGAAAAGTACACGTACATTTCAAACTATAAAGTATAAACCTTTAGAATGTAATATCATAAAGTTCTACAGGTAAAAGCCAAAGGGATTCAATAGTCTTGACATAGGAAAATTTATAAGTTCCTTTTGTAATTAAAGTCAATCCCACACTTTGTACTAGCATGTTCGTCACAGGGCTTTGTCATTGACTCCTACGTTGAATATTTTCATTCCAAAAAAAAAAATACACATAAGAGGAGGACTATGAGTTTGCCTCCCCATCGCTAGAGTATAGACTCATCTTATACAGAGGGTCAGGTGCGTAGGATATATGCAAACCTAACGACTAACATAGGACGATGACTCTTCTTATTTAAATTTTGTCATATCCAACATAAATAAAGGAGACCCTGCTTTTACACTAATTTATAAAGGAACTAAGATACATCAAAATATTAATAAAAAAGATGGGCATAATTTTCCTTTTAACACTTATTTCAATTGTTGTGGTATGGTGCCTTGTGGTGAATTGGCATCCCTTATTTTCCCATTATGTGTGCTTCAAAAGATGTTGTAGAAAATAAAAGGAGCTATTCTGATTATTCATTTCTAGCTTTGCCAAATGATCCACTACTTTATTTGCCTCTCTTAGGCAGTGAGTAGCTTTGAGATTAACTTGTTTAATCTTTTGTCGAACCTTCACTACAACAAATAAAGGGTATAGAGTCAATCAATTAATTTTCGTTATATTATATTTAGTGTCAATAATAAAGATGAATATTTATAACCAGTACTTTATATAAATGCCGTTAAAGAATTACTTTACCCACTACACGTATTCAGAACCTGTTCCTATAGACGCATTAAGTAGTAGAGAAATAAAATTAACAAGACACAAATTTATCGTGAAAAATTATTTACTCAAGGGAGTAAAAATTACGACCTACACTGCGTAGGATTTCAACCACAATCTCCACTAACTTCTCAAGAGCAACATTTTAGATTACACTCAACTATCTAAGCTAAGGGACTAACTCGAGTACTTTAACTAAACAATTACTCTAACTATTCTAACTACTCTCCAAGAAGTAAAACTCATTTCTTGTTACAAATCTCACCCACACAACTACTCCCTTCGATGTAGAAATTATTACAACTCAATAAAGACTAATAACCCTAGCCTTTAACTGCCAAAACATCACACAAAATAACTCATCAATTTTCTTCAACTAGTGAACTCAACAAAAATCAATAACTATAGTCTTTAACTAATCAAACTTTAATATTCTATAGTATAGACTCGAACACAATTCGTGAAGCAGATTTCAGTGTTATTGTGACGAAGTCCTGTAGTTTTCCTCTGATGACTATCGCTCTCAAGATAATGAATTTTGTGGATATGTAATAGGTGCGGCTCTCAATGATCTTCATGTAATATATTTATTTGCTATGCCCGATAGTATATCACTGACTAAGATTTTTACTTCAAATAGGACTTGACTCCCTATAGGGAAATTTCGGATTTCCTTCCTTAAAAGAAGTTTCATCTTATAAGGAAACTTTGACTTCTCTTTGGACTTGTTCTCTTTATTTCTTTCCTCTTTTGGTCCTTTATTTGAGCTATTTATTTCTCTTTTTTTTTGGCTCTTTTATTTATGCAATTTGTTTATTTTCTTTTGCGGCAATCTTTCATTTTTGTACAAGCTATCAGTTTCGTGTCTTGGGGACCTGCTTTTTGATTCACTTGATAAGTATGCATAAGACAAAAAGTAGTAAATCAGGTTCACTTTGTCAACCATCAAAATTACATACATAGTGTCCTATTTTTCAACAATTTCTCCCTTTTTGATGATGACAAACAATGCACAATTATGTCATTCATGCCACATATCATCATGCACCACTGATACGCCAAAATTACACCTCCCTAAAGAAGTATAAGTGGTCGTTGTCAAATAAAGAACCTAACAAAGGTTAGGGTCCATCCCACAAGAAATATGGTCTAGACTTAGGCCAATTTACTGTTAATTGAACTTTTAGCTAGTTATTTCTATAAAAGGGGGAGTTTTGTAACACAAAAAAATGATTGATTAATGTTTCGTAACAAGTAACCTTGTAACATGATTCACAGTTTGTAAGATCAATATATGAGATGAAACTAGGATATATGTGTTCCCCACAAGTTCTTAACGTAGTAAACCTTTATAATAGTAACTCTTTCCTAGTGTTTGACATACAAAGTCGGTAAGTTAGGTATCTCCTAAGTGATTAGTCATCCGTAGGGAAATTTACCACACAATTTGGTCGGTCTACGGGTGTATGCCTTACTAACCCTTACCCTTGACCCCAGATTAGCCCTCACATATTTGGGTTAGGCTATTAGATAGATGATTATCAACGCTAAATCTTCGTTGTTTAATCTCTTTTCCCATTCATTACTTCCTTAGTCGGTAAAGTAGGAATAAGACGAGATTTAATGTTGCTCACCGTTAGAAAACATTCAAAACGAAGAGATCAACAATACATGCGTAAATACTTTTCAAGAATTACTTAATTATTAAGTCTACTTTGTTAATTACTCATGGTTCCCACAACCCTAGTTGTGGATTTAACTACTCATGCTTGGGTGATCAAAATTGATAATATAGTTAATAGAATAAATCATGAACTTACAATTAGGGTTGATGAAGTCTGAAATTTTGAATTGCTAAACAAAAGCAAATTCTATAAACCAACACTTTAATAATTAAATGCTAAAAATATTTGCCAGATAATTCTCAAAGCCAAAACAAAAGGTCTCAAATCGTCTAACTACCCGAAAATGAAATATTACAACTAATATTTATAGACATCAAATCCTAAACATAGTAGGAAAAGGAACCTAAGGAAATTTGGTTTTGGGCAGTGGTCGCTACAGTTCAATCCTACGGCCCGTAGGACGTTCTATGATTTGTAGGAACCGTCCGTTAAAAATAGTAGCTTCAACTTTATTCTGGAATTCTCTACGGTTTATGTTCTACGACCTATAGAACTTAGTACGAACCGTCCTATCATCTCGTCAACCAAGTACTGGAGCTGAACTTCTCTGAACCTTTCTACGATTCATGTGTATGACTCGTAGAAGGGACTACGGCTCGTTAGTAGCTTCCGTCGTTTTACACTTAGCTCCAAAAATTAACTCTTCAAAACCACGGCTCATTCCTAGGGCTCGTAGACTATCCTAGGGCTCGTAGGTCGAGTAGTCAAACACCAAAAATCACTGCTGCTGTACATCTTAGTACGAACTACCCCAAAAAATTATTTCCTTCTAAATCCAAGAAAATTCACCATCACATCTACTAACAAATGCTTAAGACACACTCAAAACCTCAAGTTTAAAGTATTAAAAGTACCGTAAATCCACGGTTCATCAACACTCTCAAATTAAAATTCCTTAAGTGACACAACAAACTCAAAACAACACTATTTATTCTAAATGACACTATGCAGAAGCAGCTCAAAGACTCAAGCTATGTTCAGCTCAATGCAATTATTATGATAAAAATCAACCTTCCTTTATAAATGTTCAGCACAATGTAATTATTATGTTCAACAACAAACCAACACATGCGGATCAATATATGATATAGATATACCAATAGAGATATTCACATACACAGATAATAAACAACAAGATACTAACTCTTCAATAATGTAACTTGTGCCCCCGCCGCAAAGAAAACCCTTTGTTCACACATAATTTGAATTATAGTTCAACTTTAGGGACTTAGTATATGCTCACACTCATAATCAAATTCAACACAGTACATGCACAATACCATAGGCTTGCTCTTATTTTCTACACTTCGATTTTCAAACCGTTAGATTAGGATCACTATAGGACTTTCTTAGCTTGTAACATATGCTCTGGGTCAGGTATGGTATATTTAGAATTTAAGTAACTTATCTGCCCTCCTTGACATTACATCAAGTATTTTCCTCTTTTACAACCAATCCTGACATCGTCTTACTTTTTGCTTTTCTTCGTATTATTTATTGAAGCTCGGGTGTGACTTTGACTTGATTTTCTTGTTTGATTCAAATTTTCTTCATTTTTTTTCATTTGAGCTTTTCATTTTTTCTCTCTTTATATTCAGTCACACCATCTTAGACATTTTTCTTCTTTTTTCTACACACAATTCTTTTCATACCCCTTTCTTTTCTTGTTTTCCTCCATAATAGCCACCCTCAACTTAAGTTTTTAGCATGAGTTGAGGTACACAATGTCCCAGGAAGGATCAGTGCCAAAACAAAAGTGAACAACTATGAAGTAGCCACCCTAAACTTAGGTTTTTAGCATGAGTTGAGGTACAACATGTCCAAGGAGGGACCAGGGCCAAAGCAAAGTTTAACGATTTACTCGGGGAGGGTGAATT